AAGCTCCACGTTGCCGTAGTACTCAGACTGCGGGGCAACAGCGAAGGTAGGGTCAACGTCAAGCGGTTGGCGATCGATGTACTTCATCCACTGACAGGCCGTAAAGTCCTCCACAGTGGAGATAGGTCCGGACGCATTAAGAGCGGCCACAGGCATAGGCCGTACGGGAAGTACTTGTCGAGACAGGTATTGTATCTCTTCAAAGGAACGGAAGCGACCCCCGCCGTCGTTAAGCAAAACGGGGTCAATCGGAATTGAAGACAACGACATTCGTGGCGTGGGTACAGAGATTAACTCGGGCAAATTATCGCATCGTTCGCAGCCCGTGTTAAATATTGCAGAAGGTGTGTTCTCACCCTTGTAATATTCTTCCATTCTTCTCCACACAATCCAGAACGTCACCGCGACTATTTTCCAGAACACTTGAAACCACCGTCCAATCCCGCTGTACACCGTGGCCCAAGATTTACCCTCTCGATCTTCTTGACATTCGGTTTTCCGCGGGCGCCATCGGGACATTTCATTCTCGCTTTCCCGCCAATCATGTTCCACACTGGCGCTCCCGCAACACGAGGCCTGATATCTAAAGTTTGGTACGAAGGCTTCTCTTTCGTTTTCCAGATTGAGAACTTGCTTATTTAGGCAGGCAAACGTCTGATAATGTCGGGCGGGCCATCCTTCATCCTCAAAGACCCCGTTATGTGGTACCGCCAATAGTTCAAAGCGAGGGAGCCGAGTTTCCCGGTCTTTGAAAATTAAATATGTTCCTTCTTCGCGCTCGTCAATACTTACGAGATTTCCGTGCTGCCAGGGTCTCCCTAATAACATCGTGAACGGGGCAATTTCCGAAACCCACAAGTCCGCAACGGTAAGTGCATCCCCACAACGCAAGTCCACATCATTTATCCTCCCTTGTAGTTGCGCACGGCCGCCGTTTGCGTCACTCATGTTGGCTATCTGATGCCTATCAATTTCCCGATGCAAATGCGACTTTGCAACGTCTGCGCGAACAATATTCAATTGAGATCCGGTGTCAATGATGGCGCAGACACGTCGACCCGCTCCCGTCTTTACTTCAATTTTTATAAGAATACCTTCTGTACGCGGCCAATAGAAATTTGCAATTAATGGATGATCTCAGACGTTGCCTAAATAGACTGCTCGAACATTCTTGACTTTGATTAGGTCTTGTATGTCCGAACGAATTTCTTTTGAAGTGACCATAAGTTCTCGGAGAGACATAGGAATTTGAAGATCTAAAATTCGATTTACAACCTGTTGCTTGTCCACTGTGGCCGTTAACTCAGATTGCCGTCCAGCAATTTTATTACTGGCCTCGTCTTTCTTCTTTTGGCTGGATTGATCGCCTATCGCTATTTCGTTTCCAGATTCTTTCTTACCTTTCTTGTCTTTTCTCACGTCTTTCATTTCCACGTCTTCTTCTTCTTCTTCCACACTAGCCCTTGGTCTTCTGGCCTCAATGGGCCTGGGTTCCGGCATCTTTAATATTGGATCCGGTGAAGCGGGTCTTATCAGAGGCTTCTTAGGCTTCTCTTTGTTTGTCTCCACCGCGGCAGGAACTGAGCGAGAAGAGGATTCTGTATTAGGTTTGTTTCCATCTTTGGAAGCTTGTGAATCTTTCGTTAAATCTCGCATTTCTCCTATCTTCAATTTCTCCCTCTTTGGTGGATAAACCCCATCAAAAACTTGTCTTCGAGCTTTTCTGGTACTGGGTTCCGTTCGTTCCACTGGATAGCTTTGTTGAATCTTCTTCTTCATGGGCTGAGGTGCTGACAAATAAACTTGGCGATGGTTAGAATTATTATTAGTGTCTTCTGAATTTTCCGAATCCGTATCTTCTTCACTTACGGAGGTATTTTCTTCGGACGTAACTTCTTCTGCCCAAGCCTGCTGTTCAGTCTCGTGATAGAAACTTTGTACCACAGCTTTCCGTTCATTAACCGGTTCCAAAAACGTCAACATTACTCGTGGAGCGTTTACACCCGCAATTCTTTCGGTTGCCTTCACTAATGACTCTCCTGCATATCGTCGAATAAACGAACCGTTTTTCATGACCAATCGGTGAGTATCTTCATGATATTTAACAATATCGTCCGATAATAATTTGATTACAGCTGCACAGTCCGACATTCGGTGACCAACTCCTTGGCATCCATAGCATGTTAACTCATCCCTTCCAGGTGCTTGTGTTCCCAGAGGAATATTATTTGGATACGTAGCTGGAGTTTTCGCATTATTGTCTCCTGATTCTCGTGGAGGCCCTGTTCGTCCATAATTTAACCGAGTGGGTGGTGCTTCTTTCGGGGCAATTTCTAGAGGCTTAACACATTTCCGCGCCATTCCGCTCTGATCCATAGTCATCACTTTATAATATACCGGAGCATACTCAGGGTCATCCAATCGCATGGTGCTGAGCTTGCGGATCATTGACGTGATCTCCTCCTCCTTCCCCTGATATTGCTGCGTACCTCGCTCCCCAGTCTTTTTCTTGGAAGTCTCTCGTTTCTTCTCTTGATGCTTCTTCCGTGCTTGCTGCTTTCTCTTCCGCCAGAAATCCTCGTAATCTGATTCCGTAAGGTCACTGTCGGATGAATCATCACTGGTTTCTTCGTCTGACTCTTCTTCCAGCTCTTCTCCTAGATCCGCAGCTCGAACCATCAAAGACTCGTATTTGTTCCTACGGAAATACCATTCAGCAGCATCATCAATTTCCTTTACGGTATATTGATCATTGTCGCCCCGGAAGGGATTGGATTGTAGTATACGATTTTCAAGTACTTGCTGCAATGGTCGATGAATGCCGATCAAAAAATATGCGTTATAATCTTCCCGACTAAGATGCCCCTTTGTAAGAGGGCCACCAGCAATTGTATGGTATTTCGTATAGTAATGTCGCCACTGTGTTAAGTTATGGCAAGGAACATTACGCCGCTTGGCTGCAAATCTTTCCACATCAGCTGGCTTGTGCTTCTGGAAAACTCGATCTGCATCATAATGTCGGAGGATTTCTTTCTTGAGCTTACTCCAACGAGCAGCCTCATATCCTTCGAGAGTCTGAATTACATACCGTACGTCCACAGAACAATACATCAATATATTCTGGCACTTCTCATGGTCACTTTGAACTCGACACTTATTCAGCAAGCGCTCATAGTGATCAATGAAATTTTGTACCTCCATGTACTTGCCTCGAAAAGTCTTTGGGGCTTCTTTAGATCCTCGTGGAGGCAAGTCATATGAAGTATGCAACAGGGCATTAAAGTATGCAGGCGGGGGAGCTTGAGAGGTCATACGCGGTGGATGAAATGAGGTAGAACTATCATCAGAGTCGGATGATGATGACTCACTATCCTCTGATACTTGAGGCAAATGAACTTTACGTTTATGAGTACGTGATTTCCTTTGTCCAGACTCTCGGGCTGCAGATGTGTTCTTTGACTTTGGAATTCGAGAAGGTCCTGCATGATTGGAAGTATCTTGATCGTATTCCTCTTCAAGAGGCCCAATAGGTCTTCCATGTATTTCTTCATACTTCTTTCGATCTTCTTCATTGGCGAAAGCTGATTCATACTGCTGACGTTCCGCCCAAGATGAAAAAATATGCGGTGGGTTCGTCGTTGTCTGAGTCATGTTATAGTATCTTGTTGAATATATCTCAGATAGGTAGCACTTATCTGTCAGGTAGGTAACACTTGTCGGCGGTAGGTAACTCGGCGGTAGGTAACACTTGTCGGCGGTAGGTAACTCGGATAGGTAACACTTATCGGCAGTAGGTAACTCGGATAGGTAACACTTATTGGCAGTAGGTAACTCGGATAGGTAACACGGCAATAGGTAACTCGGATAGGTAACACTTGTCTGTCAGTAATTTATAACACCAGTAATAAATTTTTCCGAAACAAAGAGATTATAGGATATTGAAGCTTAAAATCCCCTCGCGGTGGGCTCCAATGATGTGCGATGGATTTTAAGTTCCGCTTAAAGACTCAAGAAATGTACTTATTTCTTAAAATCCTCAAGTGTCCTTAATGCCTCAACAAATCTCCTTATTAAAGGAAAAACGGTGCGTGAATTCAATTAACTAACAGGTGGCTTATGTAATCGGAAGCGAACGTAAGCGTCTCTGTAACGGCAACTGCGGCTTGTTCTGCAGTCAGGTCAGGTGGTCGGAGCAGATCAGTTGACAGACTTCGAAATAGACTCAAGAACTCAAGAACTCGAACAAAAGCAGCGAAGAATTCAATAATGGACTACCTAGTACAGAGCGTGGGAGGTAAACTACTTCCATTCTGCAGATTCACTCCTCCTATATAGATTCCTGGTGTTTCCTTATATAGAATCTAGTTCCCTCAAGAAGCGCGCACTTCTTTTGACTCATTCTGACTCACTCTGACTCATTCTGATTGAGTCACTTTCCTTATGACTCATTCATGATCCCGTGACCCTTAGTCATAACCGATTACTAATGAGCCTTGAATATTTATTTCTTGAATTTCTTTGCCACTCTTTATTGGGCTTGCGCGCATGTTCTTGTCAAACATATTTCATATGGCACAACGTGTCCGGAGGTATCTACAATGATCACGGGCCTGATCACATAGCACGTGCCAGCGAGAACAGGCGGGCGGAAGGTCGGGGGCATTAGCTGGAGGGATAACTGGAACGGAAACTGGAGCAGAGGCCGGAGCAGAAGCCGGAAGAATAGCCGGAGCGGACAGGAATAGCCGGAGCAGACGGAAAGACCTGCAAACAGGATTTTGAGCTCAAAATATTTGAAAAACATTTTTTAATGCTTATGGAAAGTTATCCAATGAGACGAGGGGATGTGAAATATAATGTAAGAAATATGTATGTATGGCGATGAAACAATAGGATGGAAACAGAGTGGGTATAGTACTGCAAGGCCTCGGATGCCATCCAACAACAAAAATGGGAAAGACAGAGCGCCGTTTGGAAGGAGCAGAAACATGTAAAAAGAATCCGACTTGCCTGGTTCGAACAGGCGACACCCAGATTATGATTATGTAAGCCATTACAGTCTGATGCTCTTCCAACTGAGCTAAAGTCGGATATAAAAGTGTCTTATTGTATCATTTACAGACCCATCTGACACCGGGGGCAGCCAACGATGTACACATGGTGGCCACAACAAGGGTATGCCGGTGTCTAAACCGGCGACTAAGGACCGGTTAGTTAGTCCGGGCGTCAGGCCGGGAAAAAAAAAATTGACCCCACCTTCATAGGGGTAGAAATCACTTCTGAGCATACCTTTGTTGAGTTCCGAGAGTTCCTGAAGTTGATCTAGTATCACCTTCTTTGCGTTGATCTGGTGGTCGCTCCCGCCACTTTCACCTGTCAATCGTGCCAGGCTTCAAGGTCATCTGCAAGTTTGTTGCACCCTGCAAAGCGTACTCGGAAGTAGGTGGAAAAAATGATTCTGGCTTAGAAGTAGTCATTACGAGGAGATACCAATCAAAACTGCCCCGCAAAGTTGCAAGAAAGTGACCAACGTCTTCCAAACATTAAATGACGCCCCCGCTGTCCGCCGGCAACTAAAACACGTGATAAGTTACCATATGGGGTATTACGTTAGTTAGTTAGTCCACCCATCGAGCTGCGAAAAAAAACATCGGCCCTAGTGCAGTTTTTTAATTGCCGGCATACCCTTGGGCCACAAAGCCGCCTTTACCAGACTAAGGGCGGCTTTGTTGCATGCTTTGTTCTCCAGTGCAGGAGAACAAAGCATGCAACAAAGCCCCCTTTGCTTGTTAAAGGCACCTTTGTAGGCTTTGTTCTGACTGCAAGCCACATGCGTGTAACACACTTGGTGTTTGCATGCATCGCTGGTTGCCCCTGGTGTGACTGAGCTCACACTGAACCTTTCCGAAGTCCGATGCCCTTCCAACTGAGCTAAAGTCAGATGTAAGATTGGTACATTGTATGATCCACATACCTATTGCCATAGAGTGTAAGGTGACTTGTGACTGAAGGCTGAACCTTTGCAAAGTCTACATATGTTTCCGCATAGACGCACTCAGCTGCATGCACGGCACACCCCTCCAATGCTCTTCCAACTGAGCTAAAAGTCGCCGCATAAAAGCTTGCCATGGCCCATCACCTCAACCTCCTATCTTCTCTCTCATGGCGCCGCCAGCGCTGCCCCAGTTTACTTGGACAAGTCTTTATAATATAAAGACCTTCATGAGACATTCTGGTCTATTGTCGGTGCTGACGGTGATCTCGGCGAGGCTCCCGCCTTCCTCAACCTCATCGAAACCGTGACACCAAACGATGAGTGGCCCACCCGCAAGCTTGGCGCCGACGACATCGATGTGGACAATCCCGACGACGAAGGCGACGACCCAAACGACGAGAAGATGTTGGGGAGGGCCCGGCCACCATACGCTATATTCGCCTCAAAACCCATCCGGCCTTGGCCGTCCACCTGCTCGGAGTGGAGGTCGACTGCCGCGGCGACAAGGCTACATTAATTATTCGACACGAGCATGGCCTGTTCATAGAGTGCGCAATGTTGGACCCCACCACGGTGTATTACTTCTCCAGCGATGGCGTCCAGATAACGAACGCAAGTCTCCAAGAATGGCCCACGACACTCTCCGCACGAGTCGCGTATGAAGGATTTCGTCAAAGGTTTGTGAGCCGAGCATGCGACACACGAATACAAGTCTTTCCACGTTCCGGGTCGTCGGCTACACCTTCGACCACAAGCAGAGACTCATGGAGGTAGTGTAGTGGACTGTGTATGCTGTACGTACGTCGCGCCGTGTGTAGAATACTGTAGTCGTCCGTGTATTGATTCGCTCAGCTCATGTTTTTCTTGAATTTGATGCCGGCGCCGAACCGAGTAGATTTAGCAAATCTATTCCGTGTTTCGCGCTTTGACTTGAGCGACCGCTCAATCTCCGACAAGTAGCTACCGGTCAAGCATTGAAGGCACGGAACTGCAAACAGTTAAGGGAGTTGCTACATGATATTAACAATAAAATAGGTATTAGCTACATTAGATTGCACATTACATATCCCACTCCTCCCACATTGCAGGCGCTTGCACGGTCGCCGTCCTTGGGCCCACAATCTCCGACGTTTCCCGCAACTCAACGACCTTCTCGCTCGCCCCCGCTTCATCATCGTGTTCGCCGCGCATGACCGCCAGAATCCCATCATCCGCCGCGTTGAGGAGGCGGATGTCCTGGCCCTCAATCACCTGCACAAGCAGCCCTGTGAGGACGTTCCGGATCTCTATAAAGTTCGACGAGAAGAGCAGGACGTGTGCCCCGCGCGCGGCGAACGACGTTGCCTTGCACTCCCAGCGAATGTACCCGCCATTTCGGCTCGGGCCGCCGTGGCGCGAGACGTAGCAGCCGAGGGCTAGTAACGACGAGTGAGCCGTCGCTCACAAGCAGAGGAACAACTCACAGTCATACACCACCAGAATTTCGGACCCGCTGCACCGGAGCAAGCCCAGCGGTTTCATACCTTCGAGACGTCTCTTGAGCGCAGTCTTCGCCTCTGCAGTGGCCGTGGAATTTGGGTCCGTAAAATCAGGCACAAAAGTAATCGCCGATCTCGTAAGACTTGCATTGCAGACCAACGTCAAAAAGGACACCTTGAGCCAAAAGGGAAACAGCGCACTTTGTAGGATCTAGAATAAGGATACGGTCCTGTGTAGAGATCGCAATGGTCTTCAGGAGCGCTGTGATGTTATGCGCGTCCTTGGCGATAAATCCAGGCTACAACATTTCGTCAGAACATACCAAACTGAGGCGAGGTGGGGACGCACATCTCCAAACTTTTGGAAGAATCGGGCCGAACCACCACTATTACTGCGCTTAGGGCTCAAGACAGACGAGTTGGCGTCGACAGCCTCCATCACATGCAAATCCAACGTGGTCTGGAAGTACCGCTTGGATGCATATACGACTGGTGTTCCCCACATTAGCTATATACTAGTTGGGGCAGGGAAAAACAACCTACCCAACACCCGCTTGCCAATTTGTATGACGTTTGAGAACAGGACGTTGCCGGTTTCGTGTTTCTCCGACGACGCCACGAAACTCTTGGAGTCCGCTTGCCCCAAACCCACACGCCCGAGGAGGTCCAGCGAATACGAAACGAGCGCCCCATCGTGGTGCACGATGAATCGATGAAACGGTTTGTGCGAAACCGTCTCAATGGCATAGATGGAGGTCGGGTTGGACGCAGGTAAAGCTTTGTGGAAGTCTGGTTTTGTACACTAAGCAAAACGTCAAGCCAAAGAATCGGCACAATCTCACGTTCTTCCTCCCAGTGCCCGGCAAATAGACCGGAGAAACACCCGACTGCAAGAAACTTCCGGCCGCCGGCAGCTGTTGGGGTATAAGTACGAAAGGTAGAAGCAGATAGTTCCTAACGGACAAAATGGTGCGGCACTCGATATCCGTCCTGTCGGCTTGGATCCTAAAGAAGAGGTTAAATTGCTTCTGGTAACGATTAAAGAGGGTTACCCTTGAGCTTGATTGTGGGCAACCGGAAAAAGCCATCGGTCAACACTTTCGGCTCAAAGTACTTTCGCCAACATCAACAAACGAGAAGGATGAAAACCGGCAAACAAACCATATTAGCTTCTTGCCGTGCCCGATGCAGACCAAGAGCCTCTCGGAACACAGTGTGCCATTTCTTGCGTTCAGCCTCAGTCCCTACGTGAAACGTGTATCGGCGTGTCTTGCTGGCTGCGTGATAGATACTGAAAGGATACAACGTAGAACTCTTCACTAGATTCTCTCTGCGAGTTTCTGCGGGTGAGTTGAAGGATCCCAGACGCAGGAATGAGAGAGGGATTGGCTGGGAAAGGAGTTAGAAGACTGCAGCCACGTGTGGGAGAGGGAAGCGTACACGCGACACAAGGTATCGCTTAACAGCACCATTCGGCCGGGTTTCGTCGCGTGTTAAAATGACTGATAAATTCGCATGAGCTGAGTGAAGCCATAAAGAGATGGGGAAAAAGGCACAAAAATTGTCAAGGAGCACGGCAGTCAGGTCCGTCCATCCAGAAATTCCCGCTTCGGTGCGATTCCATCGGGAAACCGGAGCCAGTCGGACCAAATTTCGAGTATCGGCATACAGGTCCATATCCTTGGAACAGGTAAGCAGAGAAACAGCTCAGAAAGACAAGACTTGCGATTATTTCCCCTTGCTGGAAGACGAGAGTCTGAACAAGCGCCCAAAACTTGACCTTGTTCTCTGCGGCTTCGATTCCGGGCTCTGTACTCTGGGCGGACGTCAGATCATTGAGTGGTGCACCAACCGAAAAGTACTCACCTTGACGCAACTGGAGAGAATATCGAGAATAATGGGTAACGTTTCTTTGTCAACATGATCATCGTCCGTTGTTTTTAGAATCTCCCCCAAGACCAGGTTTAATCTTGGTAGACGAGTGACGGGCCGCGCGAGAAAGGTCGTCAAATCCCGTTTCCGAATCCGTGGATCGGCGGACACCGATTGAACAAAAGCCTGGTAGGCTTGGTTTTGACTCAGTTCCTTGCGATGCCGTGATTCCGCCAGAGGATAGTTCTTGACGTAAACCTCATAGCTTAACCGGAAATCTTCCCTCAACACAGCTATACGGCGGTCAGTAAGGTATCGATTGAGATAGAGGAATATATACTATCAAGGATGATGTCGGACACGCTCTGAACAAGAGGATGCTGTTCTCTCTGACGAGCGAAGAGAGCGCCCAGCATGTGTTGGTGGTGGGCGACGACCTGATCCAGGTTTCCAAAGACCTCGGCAATGAATTTGTTGAGGAAAGTTTCCCGGATAATGGGCGGAGAGGCTGAACGCAGGCCTTGAATGTATATCTCTCGCACCGCTTCCAGATCAAACACATAGTCCCGCTCGGCTGGAAGTTTGTCAGGACAAATGACTTGACCAAGGAGGAAATTACCTTGGAATAGTTCGAACATCACCGATTGTCGCTTCACTTCGCGCTTACCGAGAACATCTAGCGTTTCTGGTGGAACTAGTAGATGCCACGCTTCGTTACGATTTGAAAGTTCTGCGGTTTGGAATA